ATTCGTTTATGAGCACGATTTGTGTTATGAATAGTACAAGATTTTATTTTATGTGTAGGGTTAGGTTGGATTCTATAGGTTAGAGACAACATTTTTTTTTAAATGTTAACTATATTTCAATTGAATTTGAAGGAGGCGCTAAGGTACATTTTTGAGAATTTAATAATCATAATAGTTACAGATAGGTACTTTAGTTTTATTTTTATCCATTAGATATTCTTAATAGTAATTTCAGTTATAGTGATACTAACCATTTAATTTTATTCTCTCATAATATACCTACATGAACGTGAGAGTCTATAAGGATGGATTAATGTAAAACAGCTGAACAAAAATTGATAAGGGCATCAGCTATCTGCAATGAAACATACTCCCTAACTTTAGATTTTCTCGCGTTATCACTGCTATTAATGTCTGACTGCTCTCCAATAAAATCAATTCCATCAACATCAAATAAAACATCTGCCGGCGTCATGAAGAGCAACCCACATCAAAACACGCTAAATACCCGATCGATTGCGTGATCCATTCACGGGTCGCCCATTCAATATCCGTCTCAGGCAGCCGCCATATTTCCGCAAAATGTGGCCCTGACCCAAATGAGGGCCGGAACAGATCTCAAAAATTGCGAAGAAGACAAAAGACTTCTGAAGATAGTCGCGTTAGTCAACTCTCCTTAAAATTTATACAGAACTTCATTCTGTTTATAGTGATGTGCTAGGATACAGCATTGTTAAATTCCCGTAACGGTACGGTTTGTATTTTGCAATTGTATTTTATTCGTTATTTTATTCTTCTTACCTACTCAAAAAATATAAATGAATTAGGTAGTGAAGCCAGATCTTTCATTGAATAGAGCGTTGATCTTTACGCGGTTAAGTATTATTATTCTCAATTTTATTAGATGCTCCATGGGACTTCTTAAACTATAATAATTCTAATAAAAGTTCACCACACTTTTACTACATACTAATATTTTAATTAAGTAAGGGCATAGTAAACAATAGTTTATTTAGATACTACAGTGAATTTTTTTTTTTACTTATTGTTTGCCTTAAATAGATACTTTATTTACCAACTCAATGTGTCTACTAAAGCTTGCCCTATCAATCACGTTGGGTAAAATTCGCTTTGTTTTTATAAATACTCACCAATCTCGATTGCAAAAGTACTTACCAATTCCATTTCAACACATCACTAGTGCTCGCCTCGATCCCACGCATCGCTGAGTCTTACGCACTCTTAGTGAAATTAATTTTATTAAAACTCCCCTCGACGACCGAAAATCTACCCTAAATCCCTAACAACTAAAACGAATTTCATCTAACACCAGCCAGTTCATTTTATTGAAATTCACAGCATAAAGTCAAGGCAGAATAATGAAATGAAAACGAACATAATATACTTTTATATCGTTTATTTATCCGGTATACGAGTTTCCATAAACACATGGCGATGAATATATGGATTCTGTACATTCAATATCAAAGTAAACAATAAAATGTATATTAATAAATGTAAATATATATTATTATGATCTATTAAATTATTTGGCACCGAGACGCGATACTCGAATGTATCGAAATGGACGCTAAGTACAAAAAGTTACAAATCATTTTGATACAGAGAAATAACCTTCGTATCGCAAAGTCAAAATACTCGTTCATGTGCCAAATATAAGAACCTTCCGTAAACAGTTTCGGTAACGTCTCTAACATTTTCGCAGATAGGAAATTTCATCAAAACATATAACACGATGAAAAAACTCTGTAAGTAATTTCAGTGGCGTATATTGACTGAGCGATACAACATAATACTATTACATCATCGAAGTAAATTTATATGAGGAGCGGGGGTCGCGGAGCTATACATATCTACTGCAGCAAGTGCGAGAGGAAAAGGGAATCCCGAAATGCATACGAGAGAAAGAGAGAGGAGAAGAAAGTAATGGAAATGACAAACAGAATAGGAGATTGATTTATCTAATGAGATTTGGTGATAACCGTCGGGTGGATCTGCGTGGAGACTAGAAGAGGGCACTACATAGCTCCTTAACTAACTACGAATTCCGTGATGGACGGATCATTGCTTTTTCCACATTTCCAGGTACATAAACTAAACCAACGTTATAATCTTTGTCAAACTCATCACAATTGACAGTAACATTCAGTTATACAAAAATACATCTCACTACTACCTAACTAAACTAACTTCTGTTTTAAATTCTCTTCAACGACGATAACTTTATTAATTCTGTCCGCGACACTCCCGCCCTCGCAGTGGTATCACAATTCTTAACAACAACAACGATCCATAATACTCTGCTAGAAATGAATGTACGACACAAACTACGAAATGCAGAAGGGTGATGATTGATTGACAACGATTCTCTATTGACAAAATGCGTTAATTTTAATATTTCGATGCTAAATTCGATGTAAATATCAATGCTATTGAACAAGAACATTTAGAATTGTTTAAAACATTTTTGTAAATATCTTTAATCGTTTTTCAAATCGCACATCACTGAAGAGTATTATAGCTTTACAAGACAAAGGACGAAGAAGAAAGAAAACAGTTAAACACAATCTAATAGAAACTAACCACTGATATTAACATTTCAACATCGAACATTTTGATAAAATTTACACTTACACTACTAAATTGTTGCAAAAATTGTGGTAGCAAATGTTTTTCATACAAAACGTCGCCCGATCTAAACGGGCGTCTAAAATTGACATCGAAATTTACATGATTTAGTTTAAGCTATGATACATAATGTATTAATTATACGTTATTTATTAAGAATTTGACATCTATATAAAATATATGCTAGCTTAACCTCAAGTATTCGAGATTGAAACGCAACAGTTTAATCTTGAACACTTCAGTACACTGCTTTAAAACTAGCATTGGAATCGTCGTTACGAATTCACAATTTACGTTAAATAATACTAATTTCAATTGGTGTTCACATTACATACGCAAAATCTTTAATTCCAATAGACACTACAAACGAAATATTAATTTCATCAATTTACGAATAATTAGAATCTTTTTTAAAAATATCAACAATTTGGCACATTTTCCTGTTTTTTCGAATATTCTAAAATAAGGTCAACAATGAAAGAGGAGGAGGGAAACAAAGCAAAGGGTACGTGAACGTGTCCACTGCGGTCCAAACTCATTTTTTATGATTTTATACGTCATTTAGTGAGAACATACTGCGTGCTCGAACGAACGGGGCGCAGTGTTCGAAGATAAATTGCTCGCTGTTACATACGAGAATGTAATTGTATATGTTAGTGAAACATTAATTACCGCCGCTCAGGCTTAGAGTGAAAACAGATCTCATAAATATTACGCAGATTAATAGGAGTGTTGTTTTTACTTAAACTTAATCATCCCAAAATTAAATTATGAATATATAGTTGCAAAACAAACAAAAGATACTTCGCACTTCTACGAAAATTAATTTCCATATAGTTTATAAACATTAGCACAACCGAATAAAGCCGCATAAATAATTAATTAGCGTTCATTTATAAACGTAATTCCATTTGAATAAATTGCGATAGAGGTCCGACTCTCGCTAATATAATCCGAAGACCTAGCCCAGACATATTTCTAAGAGAAAATTATGCGTCTAACGTAAGGCTGGGGGATTTCCAGTAAAATATTTGAGATGGGTAGGCCAGCTAGTAAACGTTAGACCCTCATTGAGACGGTCCCGTTGACAATGATATAGAAGGGACCTTATTATTCTGTGAATACTCAAATTTCGAAGACGTATATTAGTTGCTTGTTACAATTTAATAAAAGGGTTGAATTTATAAGGCAAGAAAATTAGATTGGTTAATTGGTACAAAATATTTGAGATATCTCTACTTACTCATACAATCACTCAATGAAGTTTTTTTAGTATACATTATAAAATGAAATAAGTCAGTGCCGCAGCGGATCCGTTCGTTACTAGAGATTAAAGATAGGTTAGTATACTAGAAATACAAATTATCAATATGGTACAATCTACAAGACTAGAGTAAGGATAGGCTGCTGTGTTGTCAGACGATCGATTGTCAAAATTCGAAAGTTTTCGTTGAATATTTTACAATTCTATTGGCAATAGTAAAGGATATATAGCTCTTATAAAATTGTGTACTTGAATAACATGATGGTATAAACATGGACTCGTTACTGGTAAAACAGTCTTACCTAAGTCTGTCGCCAAAACAACAATGTTAACAGCATTATTGTGTTCCGGCAGTTAGAGGTAAGATAGCCAGTTCCTCTGTGTTTGAGGATTCCGGGTGAAGCTCGCTTCCACCTTCGGCCTGATCATCACCATCAGGCCAAGAGCTTCCTCGTTGTGGATAATAAAAAAATGCCAATCCTATTGCAATTAAATGTCTATTCATAATATTTTTGTGTTCTTTTTATCCCAAAATTGTTAATGCAATAAAAAGCTTAAACAGCACTGAACAATTTGAGACACATAGGCAGAATAACAAACTTTCAAAGTGACAATCGATTGTCAACCAACACTTAAGGGTCCGACATCTAAAGCCTAGTTTAGATCGACCCGCGCAAGGACGGGGGCTGTAAGGATCGCAATACAATATACAAGGACGAACCGAAACGTTAGTCCTACCGCCTCTATGTACATGATACTCATACAAAATATTGTGACTCTATCTTCTGTGGATAGTTCATGTCAGAGTCTAAATTGCAGATGGTAAACGCGCAAATTATGCTATGAATAAACTAACTTCTCTTTTCATTTTAACTGACTTATCCCAACTTCCCAACTAATATTATAAATGCGAAAGTAACTCTGTCTGTCTGTCTGTCTGTCTGTCTGTCTGTCTGTCTGTCTGTTACGCTTTCCCGCTTAAACCTCGCAACCGATTTTGATGAAATTTGGCATAGAGATAGTTTGAGTCCCGGGAAAGAACATAGGATAGTTTTTATCCCGGTTTTTGAAACAGGGACGCGCGCGATAAAGTTTTTCTGTGACAGACAAAATTCCACGCGGGCGAAGCCGCGGGCGGAAAGCTAGTAAGACATATTAACGTTGTTAAGCATCATGTAGCAATCGTAGATAGTTGTAATCTCTTCTTCATTTATAACATACAACGTACACCTACTTCGAATTGACTTTCCTAAATTCTGTACCATCTTTTCTGTCATTCACTCAGAAAAAGAAGCTAGTAAGTTTAGCTAACCGAAAATTTCCACAAACTATCAGTTTAAAGTCAGCAGTTCCAACTTCGTCTTATTTAAGCTTTAAGAATTTGCAGAAACTAAAACTAAAGATTAAACTTTGACATGAACTAACTACGGATTACCTCGTTAACAGGGAAACAATAGAACAGAGACACACAGTGAACTCACAATGACTCACACTTAAGTAACTCACGCACACATAGCGAATCTTGACACTTCGGGAATGTGTGAAATATTTACAACACGTGTTTTACACGTAGGTGTTCAAAAGACGCTCAATTTTAGTATACTTTACACAACAGAAAGTATTGTTATCAAGCAACAAATTGTCTGTAGCAAGTTTTAAAACTTTATTAGTGTTGCACCACAGTTTGTCAATTGAAAAAAATAGAGCGTATTTTGTGAGTAGCTCTAACCTATAAGAATGATTAGCTCACTGGTTGTCTCTGTTAAGAGATTGCACCCTGCCTTGTTGGTACAAGCGTTTAGCCCCTAACTCGAGTTGAAGTATTTTAAGACACGACTGAGTTTTACAAAAGTTTAGAATTAAAACTCATCTCAAACAACGAGTTAGAACACTCCGCGAATTGCCAATTTGCCCAGAATTAGATCTCGTAGTTCAGGCGACTTTAGACAGCAAACTTTTCAACGTAATTCTCACTTAATTTTGAAGTCATCGAAAATGGAAAACGAATTTCTATTTATTTAAAGATAAAGATACAATAATATTATCTACTAGAGAATTAAAATTCGTGTATTTCGTCGCAAATAGTATTTTTACCTTTCCATTATTGCAAGTGCCAAATATTCTCATCGCATTCGTCAAAGCTTTTCCTAACAACTCATTTAATAATATAAACTAACTTAATTGTAAAGTTTGAATTTTTTTGTTTACTATAACCATTACCACAAAATAATTATTTACCTTAACTTTTACACATAGAAAACATAACTCAATCGTATCGTACACATCATTTAATGACAGTTAACTTTAGTAATTGCTTGCATTATTGCGGTATTATTGCTTGAACCCAAACGCTTGCACCAACGGCCGCCATCTCTCTCAACGACAAATCAGAACCAACGCCATCTGCAGCACCAATGTCAAGTTGACGAACAGGCCCGTCGCTGCGGCGTGCAGGGCCCTCCTGGCTGGCTCCGGGGAGGGCCCTATCGAGGCCAGGGGCGCCCTGCGAGGGAACACGGCCACTGCACCCGCCCCTGTAGTTGCGGCTACGCACCAGACCTAGTCCACAATTTGTTTGTTTATTTCTAAGAAATTAACACATTAGTGCAACTAACATAATTATCACCTTTTCCATTTTTGATTGATGTTATTTAGTCTCACTCCGAGATACCAGCATGAATAACAGAGATGAGTATTAAGGGACGAGCTGTTAAAGCTCAAACTTAAAGATCTATGTAGAGCTCAGCTTAAAAATATTTATTTAAGCAGTGATGATTGGTGGTTAGTCCTTTCTGTACTGAAATAATTATTATCATTACTTCTTTCCTTCATTTTTTTGTGGACAACTTTATGCCCCTTATTTCAAAACTTTTGACTCTAGTTGAAATCTGGTTTAATTTATTCGTCCCAGGTTTACTTTTTTTTTTGTAATTAGGGGGGTTGGGTTTTATTATCGATCTAGCAGTTCTTAATCTGGCTATACACGAATAAAATACTATAAAATGTACTGTGGTAAGAGTTGCAGTGGTGGCAGGTAGCAAGATGAATACAAAGTCTAGAAACTGAGTAGATCACTAACCTCGTCCGGCTCTGCCACGTGCAGTATAGCGCGCCAGCAGTGCTGCGCCAGGTCCGGACTAAGGGAGGCGCGGGTGACGCGCGGCGTGGCCCCCACTCGGACCCACAGCACGCGGACCCCTCGCCCGCATGCCCCACACTCGAGGCGCCAGCCGCCCGCGGCCGGGACCGCACTCAGTGCGGTGGCGGTGGCGCTTCCTGAACAAATGAGGAACTTACCTTGATGGATTCTATTCAGTCTGTGTACTTTTTATAGTAACTGATATCATACTATTTCTCTTGTTACAGGTAAGTACTCATATAAGGCTCAACCATTTTCTACCTCATCTAATAGTACTAACAGGTAAGTAATCGACCGTGAAATATAGTACACAATACGAGTAAAACCTTAATAATCTGACTCAGGTCTATATAATATGTAGTTTAAAATCTGAACAAGATGGATATCTGTATAAGATTGTAAATAATTATTCTACATAGAATTATTGCTTCTTTATCAATTGCAACAGAAGAGTGCGTTTCGGATTTTATTAGTCATAGTCATAAATGTTTATTTATTGTCCTATTTGTCACTTAGCGCATTTTCCTATCCTTTTGTAGAGCCCAACACTTATTTATATTTGACTTGTGCCAAAGTCCATCCCTAATATCAGATACAATGTGATAATATTTCTCATAATATAGTTTTTTTATAGTTTACGAGTATTTTACATTTGAACAAAAAACTTTATAAGCTAGAGTTGAAGAAAAGCAAAGAACTCACCAGTAACTTTCAAAGTAACTCTCTTCAACTCCTTCAGTCGCTTGAGGTCCGGCGCACGCGCTCCTATGCAGCGGTACTCCCCTCCCTCTTGATATAAGGCATCCTTAATACCTGTCCAAACAGTACTGAATGACCACAATGAAGCTTTTGACAAAGTAGTTTTGTACTGTCATCTTATTCATATACTGTAATTCTTCCATAGTTGAAATAAAATTTAAAATTTAAGAAAATTTAAAGCTCAATAATGCTAATAATCTGTAAAAAAAAATGGTTTTGGAGTACCCCAAGGGTCAATGCTAAGTCCAGTACATTAATTTGTTAAATAAGAACTGTCTACATAATTAAGTAAGTTAATAATATTGAAGATTGATTTAGTACAAAAATAGTGTTGTACTATACCTAAAACTCCATGTGCGTGGTGCGAGCCCGCCGGGGCCCAGGCTTCGCTTGCATTACCTACTACTCTCCGCCACCAGCAACCGACGCTACCTACAGCAAAAGAGACAACTTTAATACCTAAAAATCTGTACATTAACACTCATTATTTTACTATGACATTACTTCGTAGCATTTAGAGCGAAATATAAATTGGTTCCAACAATAGCACAATATTATCAACTACATATTTTTAAGACCGATCAAAACGATGACGCTTATTATTAGATCAGATAATTATAGGATTACAAAATGTGAAGTGGCTTCTTCTTCTTCAGCTGATAGAATCTATTAGTGATCTTAGAAAAACTTAACTCTATCAAACTCATCATCAAAAAATCCTCTTTATCATTTCCATAAGTCTTCCGCACTTACCTTTGGGGCAATGCAGCTGCACGTTCCCTCCCACCGGCACCTCCACTTTCTGGTGGTCGGGCTCTTCCTCCTCGTCCGGCTCTGTCGCCGCCTCCGCATTGTCTTCTGGAGCTGTATTTATTGACATCACGTTCGTTTTTAATTGAATTGTAGGTACCAAAATGAGGCTTTTATACTAAGACATAATATTAAGTTTGTCACTCTTTCATGCAAAAACTAAAAAAAGTGACTATTCTCGCCTCTTATTCCACTTCCCACCGCTGCAATTCCTGTATAGCCAGTATTTATAGCTTGTCCACCAATAAAAACCTAACCAGTTAAGGCCAGGTTTTCCCCAGGGAAAGTTAAACTATCATTGGACTCGCAAAAAATGTTTAGAAGAACACAGCAGTAATTTGACGTTAAAGATCGACTTCACACCAGTGAAAAGTAGCCAGTGACAAACAATGCTATAAAAACCTTGGAAAAAAGATTATAACGGACAGTATCTACGTACTAGCACGTACGCTACGTACAGTGGCAAGATATACCTATCTTTGCCACTGTACGTAGATACTCTAAGGCTGAGTTGCACCACCTAACTTTGACCGTAACTTTTACGATAACCGGTGTTTTTTCTATAGAGTTTGACAGATTTTTGACGTTTGTCAAAGTTAAAGTAAGATGGTGCAACCCAGCCTAAGTAAATACTTATACCACACGTTCTTAAGACTACTCACCAATAACATTCAAGTAGTACCCGATAGACGAGTACTCGGCGTCCAACCAGGTGGCTCGGCAGCGGTACCAGCCCGCGTGCGACGCCCGCAGCGCGCCCCAGCGGAGCGTGGCGGAACCGCGGGCTGACGGCTCGTCTCCACCATCCACTGGTGGGGGGGAGCTGGGCAAAAAGAGAATAGGATAGAATAGAATACCTTTCTCGCAGAATTGCTAAAATCAAGTGGCAGTGGGCGGGGCACATAGCTCGTAGAGACGATGGCCGTTGGGGCAGGAAAGTTCTCGAATGGCGACCACGGGCTGGAAGACGTAGCGTGGGCAGGCCTCCTACTAGGTGGACCGACGATCTGGTGAAGGTCGCGGGAAGAGCCTGGATGCGGGCAGCGCAGGACCGTTCATTGTGGAAAACCTTGGGGGAGGCCTTTGTCCAGCAGTGGACGTCATTTGGCTGAAAACGAGAATACCTTTATTCAGCATTAACATTTATATGCATACAGGTACAGAGGTTAAATTACTGAGCCATGCTGAAAAGGCGCCCGCTCAGCGAAAATCGTGACATGACACAAGTCGTCAAGTCACGAAGCTGGTTTTCAGCGGGTACCAACATGGGGGTTACTATTCTACGCCAGTTATGGGCCCTTTTGACAGTGACGGTTCATCGATAAAATTCGTGTCGATTCGTGACACTTCCTGGCAAAAAGGCGCGCAACAGAGGGCGCTGCAGTTACAATAAAAAAATCAATTTATTTAAACAAATACAAAACAAAATAAAAGAGGTGATGTTATGGCTCGTTTCCACGCCAATTCAGTTTTGCGGGATCCAGTAATTCAAGATTCCGCAAAGCTGGACTGTCGTGTGAACACACATTATGTCACACAAATTCGAATTAGAAATTCGGATGTGTGAGTGAAACAAACAAAAGCTCAATTGACACTGGTTTATTTTTTCTTAATAGGTTAATCTTAGGTAAATCTATGGTACAAAAAAATATGTAAGAGGTTTCTAAAAAGGTGGTCGTGACAGGATGGAATGATTTTTTACGGGACGCTGCAAAAACTAAAAAAAGTATTCTACTATAAAAGGGTTCCTGCAAAAAACAAGCTCCGTGGGAACAAGCTCTTTATAAGTTATGCCATAATGGTGGATAGTGTTGAGAGGTTAGCTGAGTTCAACTTGCTTTGCTTTTGATGTAAGCTTCCATCTCATTATTGAACTCTACATTTGGGGCTCGGTAGTTCCCAAGCCAAGTTGAGCATAAATCTGACTAGAATATTTGCAACTTCACAGCAGAATGAAATAACTAGAGGATGTGATGTTTAGTTCCGAGTTTCAAAGCAAGTTTTTTGTTTTATACGGCTCTATCTCAGATCATAGAAGGGAATAGATGTGAAACGGGGGCGTGGCGCGTGTCTCCGCGATATGCCCAGAAACGAACATCGGCCGCGTAGCTAGGTTAGTCGCGATTAGAGATTGCAATCCGGATTATTCGAAATTCGAAAATATCTGAAAAATCCGGATTTTGAGGCTATAAAAAAATCCGGATTTTGACTTTGAAATCCGGTTTTTTCGAATATTTTTACCCCAAAAATTTTATCATAAAATCATAAACCTAAATATCTATTTAATGCAACATGGATGCAAAACAAGTGAAGTTTTGATTGAACGCACCCGCACTTCGTCGCACAACACTCACACCTGCACTGTGCCTGCACAATGACGCGTCATGCCGCATGCGTAAGTGAATTCGCTAGTCGGCCAGTGAGTTTTGTACGAGACGCTGATTCTGAAACACCATATCGCTGAGTTTTAAAGAGCAGCTAAATCGGCAAATATCCCTTGCAAGTGTAAGTCATCATCATCTCAGCCATAGGACGTCCAATGCTGAACATAGGCCCCCCAATGCTTTCCATGTTGCCTGGTTGGTAGCGACCTGCGTCCAGCGCCTTCCTGCTACCTTTATGATGTTATCGGTCCACCTTGTGGGTGGACGTCCCACGCTGCGTTTTCCGATACGCGGCCTCCACACAGAACCTTGCTGCCCCATCGGCCGTCAGTTCTGCGTACTATGTGCCCTGCCCATTGCCACTTCAGCTTGTATCCGTCGGGCTAGTATGTCAGCGACTTTAGTTCGTTTACGGATCTCCTCATTTCTGATTCGATCTCGTAAAGAAACACCGAGCATAGCCCTCTCCATAGCACGCTGTGCAATTTGAGCTTCTGTATAAGGCCTATAGTGAGAGGCCACGTTTCCGAACCATAAGTCATCACTGGTAACACACATTGGTTGTAGACCTTAGTCTTCAGGCACTGAGGTATTTTGGACGAAAAGATGTTGCGTCGTTTCCCAAACGCTACCCAGCCGAGTTGGATATGATGATTGACCTCTTTCTCGAAATTGGACCTACCCAGCTGAATCGTTTGTCCGAGGTAGACATACTTGTCAACAACTCGAGAATTGAGCTCCCAACCGAAACTGGGTAGGGCGCAACATGGACATTGGACATAAGCTTTGTTTTCTCCATATTCATCCGCAGGCAAGTGTAAGTAGAGATCTTCAACCTCGCCCATCAAGTTCACCCAGCGGATCCGATTTGCTTACATTAATTCATCTCGAAATGTCATTGTATGAGAATGGGGGTGATTGTGGAGAAATCCTTAAAAGAGTTCTTAACAGGTTGTTGGCTATACCGCCGACCATTTAGCTGGGTTGATGATGGAGACAAGAGGTGACCATAGGAACTCTTAAACGAAACGGCGGAATCGCATCGAATTTGGGTTCGTTGGATTTGTCTTTTCGAGCACTTTAGTGCTAGATGATACCCAGGGTCCTGATGATGGATTCGGGAGGTGGCCATAGGAACTCCTAAACGAAACGGTGGAAACTCATCGAATTTGAGTTTGTTGGATTTGTCTTTTCAAGCACTTAAGTGCTAGATGATGTTCAGGGTCCTGATGATGAAGTCAGGAGGTGGCCTTAGGAACTCCTAACCGAAACGGCAGAAACTTATAGAGTTTGAGTTCGTTGGATTCGTCTTCCCGAGCACTTTGGTCCTAAATAATGACCAGGGCCCTGAGATTGAAAAACAACTTAAAAGTGTAAAATAAAATTATAATAAAAAAAATGAGCTCCCCTGGCCTACCTGGAAATCTTTATAGACTTCGGACAGGTCTGCCGTAGTAAGGAGAATCTGTTCAGGTGTCAGGTGGGGATTCTTGGATGGATCAAACTTGGAGTGCAAGTGTGGTTTTGTTCCCCAGTCGACGAAGCACATGATGTCGTGCCCTGCGTGCCCAAACAACTGCAAGCAGGAAGATTTAATGAAGGCTACTGACAACGCCACTCTTGTGGCGGAGTTTTGGGCTGACTCTGTGTAGGTTTGTTGTCGACAACTCGACACGACAAGAAGAAGAATAAAAAATATATTTTATAGGTACAAGCAAGTTTTTATTCTGAAATGCAGTTGTACTAAAACAAAAAAATTATGCAAGGTTCAAATAATTTCGAAAGCTTGTAGCGCAAACCGAAAAAAAGAGGAATAAATTCCATGCGCGATAATAAAATAAAACGCTTTTCTTCAAATACTTACATCTTTTTGAAAAAAAATACGTTTTATTTAAATTAAATTGATGGTTTAAAAAATTTACCCAATATTCGAAAAATCCGGATAATCCGGATTTGTACGTAACACAAATCCTGAAATCCGGATTTAAGAAAAATCCGGATTTTGCAATCTCTAGTCGCGATTCAGTCGTACTAAGGAAATGTTCTCCGATATTTTGGATAATGCGTCGTTACGTGCAATAAAACAAGTGAAACGAAGAACTACAGGAACAATGGAGTCATTTACTACATGTAAGTACCTATTGCAAATCCATTGGTATTTTGCTTATAAATAAAAAAAAACTAAACATTTTTACGAACGAATTCAGTGCCGTAACAGTTACTGCGATATCGAAATCAGTGGTGATAAAAATTCTAACACACTTGTACATTGACGATTTAGTTAGCAACCACTTTATGTCATGCTCATCTACTGCGCAATGTATTTAATTTCAAAAATACACAGTACGGCCGCATGTGCCGGTCGTAACATAGTGCCGTCACAAAATATAACAGAAGGTAAACTCATGTATGTACCTCGCTTTGCATACCTCTCTCGCTCGCACGCTCGGCCGTCGCGCCAGGGTTGTCTTGTCATGTGTTGCGTTTATTTCGTTATGATAGAAAAATGTTACTCTTAATACTATGGAAGAAAGACAATAACAGATATCCACATATACTTATACAGTTATATTTAGTACGTTATTATAGTAATAGTTTGCAAACAAATACACGAGAAGGAAGTAGTATTTAGTTGAGTGGTTGACACTATTATCCAATAATTCCTAAAACCTCTCTTATTATTCCTAATAATTGAGTTGGCTTTCAATTTGTCAACGTTAAACGAACTATTGAAATACAAATAAATACCTTACTTATATACCTCCCGGAATCAACCGTTAGTTTCAAAAACGAAAATTTAGTTTTTAATGTTGAGTGTAAGCAACCGTCTACTTAACAAATGTTATAATACCCCTTTTTTGTTGTTCACTAATTTTCGCACAAACAAAATAATTTTAGGAACGCGTGNTTTTCGTATTATTTTTGCTTCTATTACGATAAAATTTATTTTGTACTAGCTGACCCGGCGAACTTCGTACCGCCTTAGCGTAGAGATTTTCTTAATATTTTTTTCCGTAAGAACCATCCTTGGACTTCCACAAACATTTAAAAAAATAATTATCGAAATCGGTTCAGCCGTTCACACGTGATGCCGTGACAACGCGAAACGGGTTTCATTTTTATATATATAGATGTAGCTAAATAGATATTTTATCATCTGATTTCAAAGTTATTGTTCTAACTTATACCGTTTATGAACTATTATTGTGTGACCATCAAATTTGAGTGTAAATGAGAAGTACCCAAAGACCCTAATGATTTCCTATGATGACTAGCTGATTTCCAAGCCAATTTAAACGTTCAATAATTTTCAGAAGCAATTTGTTGACTTTTCCGTGCTGAATTTTGATTTTTATTAGTAGACCTTTGTTCCGCCTTAATGGCAATAAATAAGCAGACTTTTTTTTTAATTTCGAACGGGATAAAAAGTATCCTATGTCCTTCTTCTGGCTCTAAACTACCTCCCTGACAATTTTCAGCTAAATCGGTTCAGCCGTTCTTGAGTTATAAGTGGTGTAACTAACACGACTTTCTTTTATATGTATATTATATAGATAGATGTAGATGGTGTCCTGTCCATGGTAATCAGTTTTTTAGAATCAGAAACATACGTACACTCGAAAAACATAACCCTCCTTCTGGCGCATTCGGGTAGGTAAAAACAAATATTAATTATCTCTAGAGTGGATTTCAAAGAAACGCTCATAGAGCAAAAATTAATTCCGAAAAAAAATCCTTTGCACTTTTGCTTGCCTAGAGCTAATACTGACAAGCATATTTAAACATGTTTTTTCCTGTTGCCGATCTATGACATTGTAGAAAATGCTTTAATTAATTTTCCTAGGCTTTTGTTTTCATCTGTAATATTATGTTTAGTAGATCAATGGTGACATGTTTTTAAGTGTCAAATAAAAGTTACTCTCCATAACCTAATTACTTGTTTAACGAAGTTTGTTGTACACATCATCACGTTCTATTAGGTAGTTAAGCAACTCTCGTAACTTCTATAGAATACCTAATTTTCTAGGACCTACTTATTAGTTCCGATAATTTCAGATTTTTAAGGATTTTGTCTAATAAAATAAGGAACTGAAGAGGCATTAGTTTATTTTTGAAACAACAAACAATTAGGTACACTTATAAATTAAGATAAGTATAAAACATGGAATTAGAGCACATTAGATAAAAATATATTCAGCCCCGTTGTCCACAGATTGAATAGAGGGGCTTTAAATTGTAAAAATCTCCAATCGTCCACCTACAAGGTGGACCGACGACATCGTAAAGGTAGCAGGGAAGCGCTGGATGCAGGCCGCTACCAATCGATCAACGTGGAAAGCATTAGGGGAGGCCTATGTTCAGCAGTGGACGTCCTATGGCTGAAATGATGATGATGATGATGATGAAATTGTAAAATCGAAAGATGATGTCACCGTAGAATTGTTAATACCTGACGGTAATAACAATCTAACGATTACAAAATTAACCTAACCCACTGTTAGTTTACAATCTCACGCGTTTATAACAACTTAAGGAGTTCACAATTTCACGTTGACATACACAACTCTATTGTTATCACATCTGAAACATGTGCCTATGCCCATGTACACAAGACCGCAAATCAAGCAGCCTGTTACGTGGTTAGAATAGGAGCTATTTCGCAACAAAGATAGTCTGAGTGCGGTCGACTGTAATTGTAGGTACGTGAATGTGCCTCAATTTGTGTAGTTAGTTAACTACGCTATTAACGCTAGGCAATCTAGAACATAAATATAAGCTACCCAAAGCTTCAACTGCTAAAGTATACATTTATTTCCTTATTTTCATTAGAACCTACGAATGACCTAATATTAACCTTTCGAGTCCAGTGTAAAGAGAGTAATTCCCGTTTTCACCATCAATCCCTAATTTTTAAGTGAAATGAAAACAAAGTTCCTATTATGTGTTACCATAGGGGTCACTTAAAAATTAGGGATTGATGGTGAAAACGGGCATAAGGCTCTTTCGATTCCGAGTTTCTGGGTTCGATTCCCAAATGGAAATAACACACTAGTTTTGTGTATTTGTTACCAGTGTGATAAAAACAATGCAGGTTTGAATCCGTATGTTTCCGCCGACCACCACCTTTTGTACCCCACCTGATGTCTGCCAGTAAGGGAAAAAGGTGAGGGAGAGCGGGAATACGCCTTTGAATTAACCTGCTTGTTCGAAAAATAAATTAAATATGCTTGAGAGCACGTTGTGCCATCATCGGTCCGATAGAGCCATGTCAGACTCTAAATTTCGATTCAGAGTCTGACCTGGGGTCTGACCTGTTCTACAATCTACACGATAGAAGAAGGTCGAATTTCAATATTTTGACATCTCACAGACCTAAATCTGTTCGGATAATTTAGGGTAGGTATGTTTCAATAGATCTTTATCGTAAAGTTATTTATACTCAGTGGCGGATTAACGTATAAGCACTACAAGCACGTGCTTGGGGCCCCTGTTCTCCAGGGGCCTCCATCCTCTGCTGGCGTTTCATTTCATACCTACACTTAGGGTTCTTCTTCTTTCNATTGATTGGCCATAAGGCATGCCTTCTGGCCAATCACAGCACTTTTAAGCCGGTTGCACATGTTGTCGTAGACTCTCAGTCGCTTTGTTTTTACACAGTTGAATGTGTGTGTGGGAGCTGTGGTGGGGGAAATGTGGGGACACTGGTTCTCGTTGTAGTTACGCGCGACTTCATATCTATTCTCTTTCTATGATCTGAGGGCTCTATCGAAGTGACTTTCAGTTTATTTTACCTTTAGTGTCAAAATCAGTTTCCTTTTTTGACCACCTGTACCAAAATACCTACATTATAAACTTGTGCTATAACTATACGGTTATAATTGGGTATCACCTGGTGGGGTCCGCATCGTCTTGCAGTCAACAGGCGCGTGAGGACGGGTTAGCGTTCACATCGCAGCATTTATCACGAGCGTGGAGGATCCACATGACTTATGAGGTGACGTATTAATATCGCCACACACATGTGCTGTAGTTGTTACCTGGTGGGATCTGCATCGTCCCGCAGCCACCAGGCACGCGCGGGCGGGTTGGCGTCGACGTCACAGCGCAGCGCCGCCGCGCCGCCCGCTGATAGCGACACGCCAAACCCGGGCCAGCGGGATATCACGAACGAGGGCGGATCTACGTGACACAAGAGAAAAAGATATAGCTTGAGTCAAACATAGAAAGAAAGAAAGAAAAATTGTTTATTTGATTCAAACATAGTAATTTTACACAATTTTGAACCAAAATGGCTCCTACTCAGCTTGTATCATATTCCGTAAAGAACATGATGCTGGTATTCTGTAGGAACCATTTTGAAAAGAGCGTCACCAGGGACGCAATAAACATTGGCATTGAAACAGGAAAGGACAAAGGACTCAAAATGGTGTGTTGAAACTAGCAGTATTCACAAAATGACAATTTAAAAAAGTCTCTGTCTCAAGCAGGTGGACCACGACCGAACACTGTCTTTCCTAGTTACAGTTTCCTTATAAGAAGGATTAAAGTTACCCAAGAAGAGTTTCCCTGCGTGATCGAATCAGAAATGAGAAGATCCGCAGGAAACCAAAGTGACCAAACTCAAGTGGCAGTGGGCAGGGCACATAGCTCGTAGAGCTGATGGCCGCGGCAGAAAAGTTCTCGAGTGGCGACCGCGGACACGAAGACGTCATTGTGAGCAGGCCCCTCACTAGGTGGGCCAATGATCTGGTGAACCGGTCATTAAGGAAATCCTTGATCCTCCTTTATCCAGCAGTGGACATCATTTTGGCTAAAACAAAAAATAACACTAATCACCTACACACAGCTGCAGTACAAACTTACAAGTGACGTGTATCTCCAGCTTGGCCGTGTGCGCGTCAGACACGTTGGATGGCGCGGGGGCGGGCGCGGGACGCGGGGAGCGCTGGCGAGCCTCGCACTGCAGCGTCGCGTTGTGCAACTCGCGCGCAGCCGTCACTACTGCATGCGAGGACGATACGCCCTCTGGTTGGGAGAGATGGAATAAAATCAAATCAAATCTAAATCAAAAATTTAAAGGGGATACAACGGGATCCACGCGTACGAAGTCGCAGGCGGCCGCTAGTATTTTTTTATCTAATTATATAAAAGGAGAAACTGACTGACTGACTGACAGATCAACGCACAGCCTAAACGGCTAAACGTAGGCACTTGAAATTTGGAAGGGACGTAGCTTAGGTACCGTAGAGGTGCACTAAGAAAGGAATTCCCGAAATTCCCACGGGAACGGGAATTAGCGGGAAAAACGGGATTCACGCGTACGAAGTCGCGGGCGACCGCTAGTTTTATATATATATTATATAAAAGGAGAAACTGACTGACTGACTGACATATCAACGCACAGCCTAAACGGCTAAACGTAGGCACTTGAAATTTGGAAGGGACGTAGCTTAGGTACCGTAGAGGTGCACTAAGAAAGGAATTCCCGAAATTCCCACGGGAACGGGAATTAGCGGGAAAATCCTTTTGTATGAAAAATCTAAACCGCGTAAGATAGATAAAGGGGGTATAACGGGATCCACGCGTACGAAGTTGTTATAACAGGCGCTTAAATTAAGGAACGATACAAATGCCCTGAAAAATTCTAATTATAGAATGTGATTAAGATTCATCTACGTAAAATGACCATACTATAGGCCTATTAATTATTGTCTTGAAGGAGTGGTGGGGTTAATACTGGGACGTGTAAAAGTGCTTGTCAAAAGCCTAATTGCATAAATAAATGAGTTTTATGGGTTTTTTGTGATGATGGAAGTCATCAAGCTTCTAACAAAATAAAGTGATTCGTTAGAAAGTGAGATACGAGTCGATAACGCGTGCTACACAATGTCCAAGTTAGGAGCTGTTAAGCTACGGTTCCGTTTAATTAGGATCCGAAAAACACCATCGGGTTTTAGTGGGTAGGCCCCACCGTTTCGGCAGCGAAAGTCCCACATAGCCCACTGGCCGATGTGACGGGACTTTCCCCTGAAAATTTACCTGGGCTTTACCTGTAATGATATTGCATTTCGAAGTAGGCCTGTATGCTATTTGGGAATAGAAATTCTTACCTATCGAGTAGTTTGTATGGTGTATCCTCAAATACGGTCTGTGATCCAGCGATGGTTCTTGTGCTAGCAGTCGCCACGAGAGGTCTGGTGGTGGCACTCCACCTAATAGAGAATAATCCTATTTTTTAATAACTTATTTACTGATTTTAATGCTTTGACTTTTTACAATAAAATTGACACTTTTTAACGCTAGAACGGCATTGCAGTAGCGATGTTGCCGCACCATTTAACTCGTAGAGTCGGCATAATTACACAAAAATGGTTCTTGCTTTGAAAACTATTTCAGGCTTAAAGTTAGTATTTTAGCCACTATTCTCTTAACCTAAAGTTTTGAATACATTTTACTAAGTATCTACTTCATCTAAGACTCTAATAACTTACCTTCAGCGACACAGCGGACTTCTAAAACTGTTTTGTCCCGGACTGGCACCCAGGTGTTGCCCGCGTCCAGTCTTCTGCCGTCCACCGCCAGATACACTGACCGCACTGGTTCTGTACAAAAATCGAAATCTTTCAACGAAATTCAGTTATCTCATTATTAGGGCTCTATCTACACTAGTTTTGATTAAGAGGGGACACTTTTTTCCTGACCTAAAGGTTCAAGAACTGGATTCCTTCTGTTTGTATTTCTTAGAAAGTTTCTGTTGTCTGGTCTATATCAAAGTGCAAGATTTGCTTAACCCTTAACCACCTACCACATATTATTGTCACACAACCGCCTATCATACGTCTGTGGGACCCCAGAATAAAAAATAATACGATTACGATAAATGTTAAGGGAGGGTATACATTTTAATTAAAATTCTGTTTTAAACATGATTAAACTCTTTATTAAAAAAAAGAAGAATGCGAAAATCAACAATGCTTTTACAATAACTCCTAATAATTAGCTTAATGTCTTATTTTTGGCTTACTTACTATTACTTATAGAAAATGAGATCCTACAAAATATTTAAAGTAATAGGAACTTATTCTTATATTTTTTATATAATTCAATCAACAAGGAACTTTAATAAAAAAAATAACTCTCATTATTATAATCGATTAAACAAAATTGCAGGCTCTAAACTTAGAGTTTTTCACGGCAATCCAGACACATCTTGTTCGAGCATTCGAGGCAAATTGGCGCTTTGCATTCGAAACACATGTATTGTGTTTTGCGTTTTTTTGTATATTTGCAAGTGGAACAGTTTTTACGAACCGCCAATCGCTCTTCACCAGTGCTACTGCATGGGACAGCTGCTGGAGGGGTCACGTTGACCTGGAGGATGCGTTGTATACTGATACGTATACTACGTTGCAATTTCACATTGCTTTCACGACGTGCCATATGCGGTTTCGTTAGCTGTTCAGCCAGTTTCTTCATAAACTTGAACCTGCTTTCAATTGTTTGTCCTTGTGGCTGCACAGACAGGTTCACTACATAGCAATTTGAGGCAGAAATATCAAGTAATCTGAAGAATATTGCCAATGGCCACCTACGAGTGCGACGACCTGTGGAGTAATTTGCGCACCTTTGGTCTAGTAAATCCACTCCGAATTTGGTTTGGTTATAAAATAATATTATGTCCGGTTTCTTAGTAGCTTCATCAACTTCTGGAGAATGGTGCACCATGCTCGAAACAGTGATGACGGCTTTATTTTGTTTTGGCACATATGATGTCATCGTAAAATGTTTGGTGAAGCCAAAAATCACTGAATCAACTTTACGATGACGAGATGGCAAGAATTCTGGGGGAATTTCTTTTTGATTTTTCCTCATAGTTCCAACACCTGTCAGCTGTTTCTGCTTTAAAACCTCCAGTAGTTCAATAGAAGTATACCAATTGTCTGTGGTTACCACAGACAATTGGTATCGTTTTTTGGCTGAAACGATACCAATTGTCTGTGGTAACATTTCTTTTAGAATTTTCGATTGACGGAATAAGACGCATTACAGCTTGGGTGGGTTTCTTCAGTCGCTGATATTCAGGTGATAAATTTAGTCCGTCAGAACCTTTGCCCAAATATATGTAAGCATTGAGAAGGTACCCCGTCCTTGCATCTGTAAGGCATTGGATTTTTATGCCATATTTGGCTGGTTTCTTTGGCATGTACATTTTGAATTTGCATCTTCCACGAAATGGTACCAACATCTCATCAATACAAGCATAATTGCCTATTGCATAAATAGCCTGACAGCGTTTCATAAATGATTCAAAGAGCTCAGCAATAGGTGCAGATGCGTCAGTTTCACGACGTTCTTCACGCTTTGCTGCATCGTCAAAACGTAAAGTTTTCAACAGTACTTCAAACCTGTTTTTGCTCATGATACAGCGATATATTTCTCTTCCAGTACCGTCAGTACTATACCAGGAATTATAATCTTCGTGGTTTTCCTTGAAAATTGCAGTATAAAATAGAAAACCTATAAATGCCTTTATTTCTATGAGATCTAAATCTTGAACACAACTGTCGTTTTTGTAGTTTGGTCTGAGTTCTCTTATTTTCACATTCGTGTGATATACAAGTTTTTGAAGCATTTCGTCGGTAAAAAATTTCTGCCAAATATCCAAGGGAGAAGACGAACCATTCAGCACATTCCGGTATTCTTGTTTTACACCTTCTCTTTCCTCAACTATATTATGCTGCAAAGTCCGCGATCGTAAAGTCGCCGGGGCAGATGACCAACGAAAACGATTTTTTCCAAAATAATTCTTCCTAGGTCTCGATCGAATCTCCGCTAACGGTACATCATCCTCAGATGACAACTCTTGGTCACTTACTGAGGGAATATCACATTGTGATGGAGAGTTTACTTGCATTCCTGTTGAGCCTTCACATTCGGAATCAGACACGCTACTTTCTCCAGCGCCTGATTAATTTCCGACCGGCTCCACATCGCTGCATTCGTCGTTTGGTATGTTTTCATCGCCTGGCAGATCTTGTTCCAACCAACGCTCAATTTCATTTATGTTGGGGCAACATAGCTCGTAGAACTTGCTACATAAACTCACCATAAATAAGCAGATGCATAGGCTTCCTAGCGATAGTCTGCCCCGGCGCAGCGCCACGCGCCCGCGTCTGCGCGTGTCGCCCGCCCCACCACCAGGGCGGCGCCCTCCTGCCACAGTACTAACCCACCCTAGTTCAACAGAAGCCACTGACATTAATTTGCTACATACACTCACCATAAATAAGCAGATGATATCCACTGCTGGATAAAGGCCTTCCCTAAGCATTTCCATAACGAACGTTCCTGCGCTGCCCGCATCTAGGTACTTCCCGCGACCTTCACCAGATCGTCGGTCCACCTAGTGGGGAGCCTTCCCAAGTGCCCATACAACAGCTTCCGGCCCGTGATGGCCACTCGAGAACTTGCTACAACTCACCATAAATGAGCAGGTGCATAGGCTTCCCCGAGACAGTTTTCCCCGCCTTGTCTGCCCCGGCGCAGCGCCACGCGCCCGCGTCTGCCCTCGTCGCCCGCCCTACCACCAGGGCGGCGCCCTCCTGCCACAGAGCTTCGCCCCCGCCACCCGCCGCGGGGGCCACTGACATTTGCTAAGAAAAAAACTAAGTTTAAAGCAACTATTGGTCATGTGATTGTGATGAAGCAGATATTTGATTGGAAATTGAGTTTTTTCTTCTTCTCCGCACAAGACTGTGATTGAGTATAGTTTCAAGTCAAATGACGTCATGAGCTGTTAAAACGCGTAGCAATCACAAGGCATTATAGTAATTCGAAGTTATTAAAGTAGACGAAATTACAGTAGACGACATGTCAGTATTTTCCCGAACTCTATATTGACTTACGAAGTTACGATTTATTTATTTCAAAGCAACTTTGATTTTCAGGCCCAATATAAAGTGCTCTTTAAATAAAGCTGTGACATGAAATTTTCGTTATCATTATCAACTTTCCAATTTTTAGGTGAGCACAGGTGTTTGTGCCATAGTAGCCTTTCGATAGTTTGACTGATTTTCAATTAATAATGTAATAAATGGAGACCTACCTCGTTATCTTTATACCATCGCAGATTTGTCACGTTGGCCAGGTCGCAGTCGATGCGCGCCTTCGAGTGAGCCTCCACCAGTAGTTCACGGTCGTATCTTGGTGCCTATTGACAATTCAACAACATTACAATAGATTCTTTGGTTAACTTGCACCACCTAATTTTAACTGTAACTGTTACGTGTCGGTGTTTTTTGTATAGAGTTTAACAAATGTTTGACGTTTGCTATAGTTAAAGTACATACGAGGGTGCAACCCAGCCTTAGGCTATTATGTAGGTATTCATATTCATATTCATTTTATTCACTTCACAATGTACAAATATTAAAGACAGATGTTAAAAAAAAATGTTACATTGCTACCTCCCAGAGGTATATGTGATTTGTAAATTACAGACGTCATCCAGATCTATCTCAAAGATTATTATTGTCGCGATAACTAAAAAATTCATCAACTGCTTCTACTCACAGTTTGAGATCAAATAATCTTGAAGTTTATTACTAAACGGTCTTAATTTATTTTCCAATTTTATGTGTTTCGGTATTTTATTAAAAATTTTTACTGCCATATAAAAAGGACTACAATTGAGCATTTTGATTCTGGAAGGTGGTAAGTATAGGTACACTTACATAATTTGAAAAATAATAAACATAAGATCAGAAATATCACGCCTAATTCAATTATGAGAAACTTATTTTATAAGTAAAAGATTTTCATCTGTATTTTGCCAAATTGTTACTGGAAAATGTTAATACATTTCATTTTCGTTATTTGATTTCCACGAAGCGAAATTTCTCCACGTTTATTTATTTGAATTGCCATTGCAAAATCTTCAAATGTAGTATTATTTTGTAAAATACGTTTTTGTACTTAAATATCTCGATAAGTATGTACTAGGTACATACGCTATTGAACAGTCCGTAAGCAGCTTAAATTCATCATAGCCATAAGACTCAAAGGCAACTAAAAAGAAAAAATATTGGAAAAACGTTTCGGAATGAGACTGAATTGTTTGTGGCATAACTCGGCGGACGGATTCCGAGACGTTTAAGCCGCTTATAGTAACGAGAGTCGATTCCCTGCAGGGACACAACAAAGGCAGAACCGACGGCCCATTGCCCGTAATTAGGAGCGTACGGTCAATTGACGGGGAAAGTGGAATCGGTAATCTTAGGATTTCAGGATTAGGCTTGAAGAGGATACCTAAGTCCTAACAAAAACATGTAGTACCTACTCAAAGGCTGAGTTCCACCACCTAACTTTGACCGTAACTATAACGTTAACCGGCGTATTTTGTATGGAGTTTGACAGATTTTTGACGTTTATTAGAGTTAAAGCAACCCAGCCGTAAAATTGAACATACACTCTTCATATTAATGATTTAAATATTAAGGCTTAGTTGCACCCCCTAACTTTGACAGTAACTTTAACAATAACCGGTGTTTTTTGTATGGAGTTTGACAGATTTTTGACGTTTGTCAAAGTAAGATGGTGCATTTTATAAGCATAAAGCAACTATTTCCAAGGATAGAAGTCTTTGAGTGAAGTTTTCCAGTGATTCTAGTAATAATAAATGTAAAATTGGCATTAATGTTAAGACTGTTTCCACGTAGCTGTGGGAGTAAACAGGCGAATAAAAACACTGAAAGTCCAAGGCAATTTGAGTTTCAAAGGATGAAGTGTTTTTAATATCAGAAATGTTGCCAGAAGACTCGATTTTTGCAGACGGCTGCAGATGTTGGAACTCTAACAAAAAGTACCTAGTTTTTGCAGAATATGAAATCTATTCAATATCTTTGCTACACTGTTTGTTCTCTTGGTTAGAATGAATATTTTTTACTAAATATATTTTCACTTAATTTTTTACTTGATAGAAAATTCTGAAAATAATGATCCCGTCATCGTATCTAGTGTTCCGCAAAGGGTGTACCGTAGTCATTAGATGATGTGCCTCGGAAAAATAAGTTTTCTTAATCTTATTTTTAGTAAGTAATGGTAAGACTAATAAAGGTAATTGCTTAAAAATTTATATTTCATGTGAGGTGTACCTCCAAAAACTTTTGTTTACCTAGATGTACCTTGAACACAAAAAGTTTGCGGGACACTAGTGTAGAGAATCCATATTATTATGATGTGTGCATTTAGAGTCGGGCTGATCGTGCCTATGCACGATCTATACCGCGCAGGGCGGTTGACGAACATCTCTAGGCGCTTGTGAGAAACTATATAGTTATGTAGTATACATGCGCCGATGGCCACATGCCAGAGGAATTCAAACCTTACCTGCACATGCGTAGGGTTGGATTCGGGTTGGTCGTGCATAGGCCTTGGTCTGCGCGCGTGCGCAGGGCGGATGACGAAAGTATCAAGCCGCGAAGAAGCGCCAGGGTCGGGTGCGGCACGACAGACAAATTCAGACCTTACCTGTACCGGTGTAGAGTTGGAATCAGGCTGGTCGTGCATGGACCTTGGTCTTCGAGCTTACACAGGGTAGATGACGAAGGTATCAAGGCTTGAAGAAGCGTGAGGGCCTAGCGCGGCCGGCAGAGGAATTGAAACCTTACCTGCACCGGCGTAGGGTTGGAGTCAGGCTGGTCGTGCATGGGCCTTGGTCTACGAGCTTACACAGGGTAGATGACGAAAGTATCAAGGCTTGAAGAAGCGTGAGGACCTGGCGCGGCCCGTCAGAGAAATTCAAACCTTACCTGCACAGGTGTAGGGTTGGAATCAGGCTGGTCGTGCATAGGCCTTGGTCTACGAGCGTACACAGGGTGGATGACGAAAGTATCAAGGCGCGAGGAAGCGCGAGGGCCTAACGCGGCCCGTCAGAGAAATTCAAACCTTACCTGCACCGGCGTAGGGTTGGAATCAGGCTGGTCGTGAATAGGCCTTGGTCTGCGAGCGTGTGCAGGGCGGATGACGAAAGTATCAAGCCGCGAAGAAACGCCAGGGTCGGGTGCGGCACGACAGACAAATTCAGACCTTACCTGTACCGGTGTAGAGTTGGAATCAGGCTGGTCGTGCATGGACCTTGGTCTACGGGCATGCGCAGGGCGGATGACGAAAGTATCTAGGCGTGAAGAAGCGCGAGGGCCTGGCGCGGCCCGTCAGAGGAATTCAAACCTTACCTGCACCGGCGTAGGGTTGGAGTCAGGCTGGTCGTGCATGGGCCTTGGTCTACGAGCTTACACAGGGTAGATGACGAAAGTATCAAGGCTTGAAGAAGCGTGAGGGCCTAGCGCGGCCGGCAGAGGAATCCAGACCTTACCTGCACAGGCGTAGGGTTGGAATCAGGCTGGTCGTACATGGGCCTTGGTCTACGCGGGTACACAGGGTGGATGACGAAAGTATCAAGGCGCGAAGAAGCGTGAGGGCCTAGCGCGGCCGGCAGAGGAATTCAAACCTTACCTGCACAGGTGTAGGGTTGGAATCAGGCTGGTCGTGCATGGGCCTTGGTCGGCGCGCGTGTGCAGGGCGGATCACAAAAGTATCAAGACGGGACGAAGCGCGAGGGCCAGGCGCTGCGCCTGCGTCGCCGATGGCGTCACGCACGGCTCCTCGGATGTTCAGGATCGTGTCACCCGTCTTCACGCGGCGGTCTACTGGCGCCTGTTGATGTAATTTTGATTCAGGAGATGCTACAAATCAATTCATTTCACAAGATGATCGGTAAATAGTGGTCCACTGTAAATAGAATGAAGTTCCCCGGTTGCTTGGTTGAGAAAGGAGCTATAATATAACTGATAGCGATTTTAGTAGTAATTTTTAACAGTATTAATAATGAAAAATTCAAAGATTCAAGGTTCAAAATCTTGTCGGTAGTAACTCTGCGGAAAGTTCTTGCAAATCGCAAATACATTTATGATGAAGACTGCAAGAGTTAAAGTCTCTACAGATGGGAAAATCACACACTTATAGCGTGTGCGTTTTGTCATCTTCACTAGGTATTTTTATTGAATTGCAGCGCCGAAAAGTGTAATTGAAAAAAGTTAATCTGTTTAAATTCTCAACTCTTTGATCTCAAAATCTACACGCAAGCTATATAGAGTATCCTGTATTGAAAGAAAACCTTCCTGAAAGTTGAAAGCATGCATTGCTTACTCCTTTTCAGTTGAAAATATAATCTATAATATGTATTGCTCGCATGTTGCTTTTTCCATAGATAAAGGAAGCAAATGTATATTACATTTATGTAGTTTCTCTAAAATAATTTGTACATTATTTTTGTAAAAAAACATTTCGGTACATTTGAAGCCTTAGCTTTCTAATTCTGGCCTATTTTTAGCTTAATTACTGAATTTGCTAAGATACCTCTTGTCCAAATTGTATTTTCAATCTGTTCGCTTTTTCGCCACTAACAACAAAATGAATTTTTATATTTTCATGTATCTTCAGAAAAAACTTGCAAACTTTATCCGTGCCGTCAGCTCCAATTTTTCTAAAGGAAGGCCACGCGGATGCCATCGATCACATGATTAATGTTTAGCAATTTCGTAGCGTATAAATCAAACGGCTGTAATATTACGCGTTATTGCTGATTGATTTGTGTATGTGTTAAGACGCAATTATGCCTGTATCAAGGAAATAAGTGAGGTGAATTATTACTTGAACACCTATTAATACAAGGTAATTTGAAAATAATAATTGCCCTTCGAAAAGCAATTTTGTTATGACGGAATAATTATGTCTTAATAATGTAAAACGAGTTATTAATGAGTACCAAATAGCCGGTCCCTATTTAACCACCGTCTCTACCCGATCGTTAGTTCGACATTTAGATCTAGGTCTAGGATAACCTGGACACTACGATTAATGAAGTTTCTGTACCCCAACATATATCGTACTTCGTCTATCATCTTCATTTCGCTACACCCTAAGTATAACACATAATGCGACTTAGTCGAAGTAATCCAACATGTAATATCAACCGCGACTAGTATTTTGTCACTCTTGTTCTCCATTGAAGACATATTTAAGTACTTTTATTCTCCAGTAAACTAGACTCCGATCTTAACTTCGCTTTTTTATATCTTATTATCGTCTTTTGAACAAAAATGCCGGTAAAATTTGTCTTTCTTCCAGTTCCATTTGCCAGTAGGTCAATCTACTAGAAAATGTCGCCTAATGTATTTTACCTCATTTATCTATATCTATAAAAGCATAAGGTCAGGTCACTGATTGACTGACTCACTGATCACGAAATCTCAGAAACGACAAGTGCTAGGAGTTTCAAATTTTGCATGGGGGTTCTTTTTAGAACGTTGGTGCTCACTAATACGAGATTTTGCAAAATTCAACCCCACGCATACGAAGTCGCGGGCGGCCGCTAGTTTATACTAAAGTCCAACACAAGTTGAAATGACTATGTTACTGATGTTATGAGAAATGAGTATACAAGTTACTTTAACTTTTCTTGCGCTGCTTCTTCTCAGCACTGGCCCATTTATTGTCCTGAAGCAGTGGTAGGGTTAATACTGGGACGTGTAAAAGTGCTTTTTTAAAGCCTACTTACAGAAATTAATGAGTTTTTTTTAGTTTTACCTTAGCAGTCTTGTCCCAGTCGTGGCCGCTGCTGCGCTTGCTTCTGTCCTCGACGTCAGCGCTACTCACTGACAGGTCTACCTCCTCTTCTCTTTGTACCTGTAGAAAAAATACACTTTAAATTCAAATAAATTAGATCTAACTTCAAATTGCATGCGGGAATTATCTTATGCCTTATTGGTGGGAACCACTGCAACTACTCTACAGCTTGGCCGCCTATGAACCCCAACCAGTAGGTAGTAAAGTTTGGTAAGTTTGGTTAAATTGATACGGACTTTCGCCAAGCATTGACAACGTTGTTACAGTTTACTTATTTCTTCCACCTATTGTGAGATGCTAGTTAAATTAAATGAGCAGATTAGTTGGGTGGATCAGCTAATCAACAAATTACGAGTAACATGCAAACTTTTCTTCAATTCTTTTCGATGTCATAGATACCCGTACCTACATACTTCATCATTTGTTTTCTTTCTATTGTTCGTATTTACCAATTTTTAAATAACCCCTCAAGCGATTTGCGCCGCGAAGGTCGCGGGGTCACGGCCGCGTGGCAAAAAAAAACCTACACGCAGTCTTTCCGCAAAAAAGCATAGAATTATTAATACTACACACTTTTAAGTTATATTTTTGGAATATAAATAAAATTTCCCATCTTTTAATTGTAAGATTTACCTTCGTTCCATGTTCAGTCTCGGAGTGTGCGCTGACCAGGTCCGGCGTGACAAGCAGCCGGCTCTGTTCGATACTAGTCTCTAAGTCGTTGTAGGAAGGTTCACTATCCAATATGCTGGGGTCAGGGTCTTCTGGGGTGTTCTGTTGGAAAAGAGTCAATGATAGTAATTGATATTTCAAAGATTTCCATCAACTTTCTCAATTATTTGTTCGATCATAAATAGAATATTTTCTTTTGATGCAGTAAAAATAAGCATTTAAAGGATGAGGCTCTGTCGTCTATGTTTTTATTCACCCTGTCATTGCTTTATCACTTTTACGTGACAGCAATTAGGTATGGAAGGAACTGTCTATCTTACCTGTTAATATTAATGTTATGACAGAAGACTTATGTAAGATGGTGGTAGTTATCCAGGCCAGGAGGCTAATAACAAGCCCTACTACCAGACAAAATGAGTTTGGCCCCCACTGAGAATTGATTTTGGGACCTCTGGGTCTAAGACAGGTGATCTAGCCTCTAGCTAGACCATTCATTTTATTTATCCCTTTATCTTTTATTCTTTCGTTTTACAGGTTTACAGGTTTTACATTACTCTATTCCCTTATCCGTTCATCCTTGGAAAAAGGGATGTTCTTCATCCTTCTATCCGTTTGTAGGCGGGATGTCCACAGTTCACTTACCTGTAGCGGGGGGTAGAGGGGTGCGTCTCGTACCAGCTCGGCGGCGTCGACGGCGAGCGGCGCGGGCGCCGGCGCCGGCGCGCGCTCGGAACTCGACCACTCCGACCCGAGGGAGGGGGGGAAGCCTGTAGACAAGAGAGAGGAATTTTGTAATTTCATTTAAATAAGCAGTAGTATATGTAAAGTTAGCGAGAAAGACGCCCGTATTCACAAACAAAACCGCGTACCGGATAACGAAGTGTTGGACGTCCACCCATAAGGTGGAACGACGATCTGATAAAGGTAGCAGGAAGGCGCTGGATGCAGGCCGCTACCAACCGTGCGATGTGGAAGTCATTGGGGGAGGCCTATGTTCAGCAGTGGACGTCTATGGCTGAAATGATGATGATGATTCACAAACGATGCTTGCTTAAGTGAAGAAGCAAATCGGACGCACGGCATTAAATAGAGCTATGTGATTGGTACGTGTGTCACCCTGTGCGTCCACGCGCATTGTGAGACCTCATAGTAATGTTTGTGAATACGACACCGTGACTTATATGACACCGACACTGATGTTGTTACGAGTAACAAACCTGTTTACTCGTAAAATGTCATCAATTTAAACACTCATTTTCAAGAACCGTCTCATCATCATCATTTCAGTCACAGGACGTCCACTGCAGAACATAGGCCTCCCCCAATGCTTTTCATGTTGCCCGGTTGGTAGCGGCCTGCGTCCAGCGCCTTCCTGCTACCTTTATGATGTCATCCGTCCACCTTGGCCTCCACTCCAGTTTAACTTTTTGTAATATTTACTAATGTAAAATCTAAATCTTAGCCCTTAGACTAACATAACATTCACGTCACTTATTTCACTGACCCAAAACACATAGAGCTTTTTCTCGTATAATCTGCTTTATTTTAATTTTTAATCTAACATAGCTGAACCTTTTTCGTCCCAAAAATATTTCATATCCAAAAACATCTCGCAAAAACAGGATTTCACTCTTTCAGCTCCCCAAGTTAATTGCTTTTAGACCCAGTTTTAAATAACTTAAACAACTCCGTACCTATTCAATGGGACACTAACTCGATGGAGTTAGTAAATGGACTCCTAAAACTCAAGTCAAACAAGCGAGTTATCGCGGAGTTATCGGATTATTTCTTAATAAACATCGAGTAAAGATCAAAGGCTAATTGAGTACAGAAGTCTCGATGAATTCGCTTCATTTTCCCGGAATATTTACTGTCGTTTGGGAGATTGTTCCTGTAATTTGCGATTAATATCTTGTCGATGCCGTAAACTGCCGGTGGGGCCCGTCAATTTATTTCTCAACTAGTCATGCCATGTCATACATTACCGCATCTATAAACTTTTTTTAATGCAGGACAAGCCAGGTATTTGACCGCAATCGTACTTAGTGTTAAGTAAGATGCAGTCTAGTATGGTACATATATTACATGCTTCGGCCGGTTTCGCCCGGAGTTTTCCCGGAAATTTTTCGAAATTTTCTCGGCGTAAAAACCATCCTTGGACTTCAACGAACATTAAAAAAAATTGGTAAAATTGGTCCAAGCTTTGTTGAGTTATGCGCTTACCAACACATTTTGCGAGTCATTTTTAAATTATAGAGAAGATAATTATGAACGCGTGGTCACACATCCCCTTCCAGCAGCGGTATGTGTTGCTTAATCTCAATATTCAATTTCAAAGCGCGGCGAAATAAAATAACCATGTCTCCGCAAACCAGACGTAAGTTTAAAGTGCTACAGCATCTACAGATTATCCAAGAGGAGCTCTTTGGAAACTTTTTATCAAATTACCCCACTTTGAGCACAGCTAAGGGTGCATTGCTGGCAACTTTGATGCGTAATATTTAGGAAATGGGAATCCAAATTGGGGAGATCAAAGAACATCTTGAATGTCTTAATTTGTAAGATGTTTCGAGTGAGGTTCACTTAGCAAGTTCTGATAATTGACTTTGTGAAATAATAAACAAGATAGCTGAAATATTATTATTGACTGCATACTAGAAACGGCCCATAAATTAGCAGAGTTTGTCACCGTAAAATTGTAAATACCGTTAGATAAAATCTACTTGTCCAGTGAGATAATCAACTGTTGAATCGTAACATACAATTTATCCATTATGCTTACAATCTGATAGATTTCTATTGAAGTGAAACTGTTAGATTAGATTCTGTAACGCATTGAATATCCAAATAAACGATGGTTGTCTCAGATTCTCAGATCAGCCCCGGCTTTGTACGGTTGCAATGGAATTTCCCGGTTTTTCTCTTCTATAATATGCATATTGCATGTTTTTATATAACCCTACCTCTTAAATCACTCTATTTATTAAAAAAAACTGCATCAAAATCCGTTGCGTAGATCTAAAGATCTAAGCATGGTTAGGGGCAGAAAGCGGAAAGCGACTATGTTTTATACAGGTACACGTATGTAGTGATAGTGAAACGCAAATCTGGAAAATGCTAGAGTCTCTTCTTCTTCTTTGTGTTAGCTATTTCCCATTATTTGGGCTCGGTTCCCGTTATATCCTGGAAAACGCTAGAGTAACTTTAAAAAAAAAACTATTTCCTATGTAATAAAAACACTCCCATTCATGTTTCCCAAGAAAACTCAACTGTCTCACGGATCCTAGCCCATGTGATACTTAACGTAACTCAGAAGATAGCACAAACTTCTGTCCGTAACATTAGTCTGCCATAACAATGGCATTGTTGCAAACAAACACATTAATAACAACTTGGGACAATGGAAGGGCGGATAGTGAGGGGATTACCCCGAATTTGGGGAAAATTTTGTTTAACTTTTTAGTTTTTGAGAATGAGAATGAACGCTTTAAATAGGACTAAATTAACAAAATGCTGTACTTAACTTATCAACACAAAAATATTGTATTAAGACCACCAAAAATATAGGTAAAGCTACAGATTTTCTAATTTAAATGAATTTGGTTATTTTTTCATTGTTATAATTTGATCTAATCTGTTACTTCAATATTGATTATTGAAAAATGGGTGTTTTCTATGTATAACAAGTATGTATTTACAAAACACAGTATTTAATTATGTTTATATCCGTGTCTAGTACCAATAGTACAAGCTTTACTTAGTTTGGGACTAGAAGCGCAGTGTAAAATGTCTAAGGATATTTTATTTATTTATTTATTGGTAGGTAGAGCAAAGTAGAATTACTGAAAAACCAACGTAGCTACACAAAAATCCGTGCAATCAAATCAATTCAATTTTAAAACTTGTTTTCAAAGCAATCCAAGAAAATCTCGGGCAAAGAAAAGCGTAATTTTGGCAACACTGCAACGTATCTCAGATGCGCATCGCTTGCATACAATTCGCCTGCATCTTTGTTGCAGCTGCGATGTATTAATCTACAGAATAGAAGACGTTTGCGGACAACGGGATTGTCACATGTGGCCATGTGGCCAAACAATTTAAATTTTTACACGCTTCTGTGATCACACAAAGGAATCCTTGTGCAGGATCGTATATTGCTTTACAAGGGTGATACAGCGTGAATTGGAACCCCACAGAAACAAATGTAATACAAAATGGAATAAGCATGATTGCACAGTAAAAGAGTTTAAATACCGCATGTTAGAACTGAAATGTGATATCGTAAATAGCCCCAAGAGTGGCATTTTATTTGCGACTGTAGCATTATAGCATTTTCTACACTAATAAGTGAACCTTTTGAAAAATGGGACGATTTATATCAACTGAGTTACTTATTTTTATAAAATACTAGCTTTTACCCGTGGTTTTGCCCGCGGTAATTTCGATTTGTCACAAAATTTTCTTTTTTTTCCGGTACGCGGCCTCCATTCCAGAACCTTTCTGCCCCATCGGCCGTCAGTTCTGCGTACTATGTGCCCTGCCCATTGCCACTTCAGCTTGCTAATACGTCGGGCTATGTCAGCGACTTTGGTTCGTTTACGGATCTCCTCATTGGGACGTCCACCTACAAGGTGGACCGATGACATCGTAAAGGTAGCAGGGAAGCGCTGGACGCAGGCCGCTACCAATCGATCAACATGGAAAGCATTGGGGGAGGCCTATGTTCAGCAGTGGACGTCCTGTGGCTGAAATGATGATGATGATGATGATTTCTTTTTTTTAGAATGTCTCCCATCTATATTCTCTAGCCTATATTCATCAAGAATAGTGTAGAATTTAATGGTGAAAGATTTTTTAAATCTTTCTAGTAGCTTCAGAGCCCATTTAATACAAACAAACTTATTTTTTTTCCTAAACATAGTGTCACTCTATGTCGTGTACCAAACTGTATACCAACATCTATATATATAAAAATGAAACCCGTTTCGCATTGTCACGGCATCACGTGTGAACGGCTGAACCGATTTCGATAATTCTTTTTTTTAAATGTTTGTGGAAGTCCAAGGATGGTTCTTACGGAAAAAAATATTAAGAAAATCTCTACGCTAAGGCGGTACGAAGTTCGCCGGGTCAGCTAGTGATGCAATAAAGATTTATGAATATAACTAAGTATGTAATAAATACCTACGAAACCAAGTAGGAAGTTTAGTTCGCGGCATTTAGGTAAAAATTGACACTTTAAACTCAGTATGTCAATAAAAGGACCTAACATAACAATAGCAATATCCTAACACTAGTCTGGACCAGCTGCGGAGCCTCCCGCGGGACCCTTGACACCGACAGATGGCGTTGCACTCGGTAAATACAAACCGGAAGTGTGCCACTGCAGAAAATACAAGCTTTTTAAATAACTTAATGTAAAGGAAAATGAGAAGCTTGTATTAGGGGTCGTTCCTACGGCAATCCAGTTTTAGGGTATCCATTAATGCAGGATTGGATTAAACTGGACTGTCGTGTGAACACACACAATAATTATGTTTTTACAAAAACAAATGGAATGTTCGTGTGAGCGTTAATATTAAGGCTGGGTTGCACCATCTTACTTTAACTTTAACAGACGTCAAAAATCTGTCTAACTCCATACAAAAATCACCGGTTACCGTTAAAGTTAGGTGGTGCAACTCAGCCTAAGACACGTATACTATTAGAGTCTAGTACCTATACTAGACGAGATCCTGCTAAAAACAGTTCCAGCAAAAAACGGGATGTCTCCGTCTGACTACACTTTATATGCGAAAACGCAGAAAAAACTAGTATGAAAATATAAGAGGAATTTTGTATAATTTCTAAGACAAAAGGGTTAATGCGAGTCTCCCACGCATCTACTTATAACATTTGGAAATGTCAAAGTACTTAACCTTGACATTGTGTGGGCGCAGAAAGGACATACTCGTACAGGGTAAATAAAGTAGTTATTTTTGTTGTTTATCTTACGTTTCACGTAGCGAACTTTTGTTAGTTTGGGCTTGTATTATACACACAACTCGTCAAATGCTGCAAAAATAGCCTGTGAATAGTTATTTTACATTTGCTAGTCCCAATGTTAAACATAAATCAACTTTCACTTTCAATCTACTATATAAAAATAGGTAAGTCGGGTTTTCCTTCCTGACGCTATCTATAACTACAGAACGCACGAAACGATTTCCACGGTTTTGCATTCGTTGGAAAGGTCTCGGGCTCCGTGAGGTTTATAGCAAAGAAAATTCAGGAAAATTTAACAAACGAAATGCCACGCGGGAACTAGAATTTTATACATTACAATATTAATTGAGCAATGATCTAGGAGATAGGTATCATAATTCAATTATTATTTAGATCAACCTTTCCTAAGACATCATAATGTTTCTGTGTAATTTGTCTTATCTTTCAAGTTCCCACCAATCGTCTTGTTCCCACAAGTCCCGGGGGGTGTAATGTGTGCGAACAATTCGCCAATATGGCTGCTCCAACTTAACTGCAATGTTGCTTGTTGCACAATTTTAATGTCATTCCACTTCTCAACTACAAGTCGTCTACAAATACAATCTACATCTTTAGTTTAGTTTT